CAATTATTTTATTTTATTCAAGGAACTATAAGTAGAATCTTAATCAAATGAATTCCAAAAAATTTAATTTCTCAAACATTAATAAAATATCACTGTCAATTACAAAATTCTAAAGAAAATGAAACTTTAACTATTTTTTTTATCTTTCTTGTTTTAGAACAAGAAAGAACAACGAATTTTGGGTACTTAAAAAATTTTCATAATCCTATAATAGAGTATGAACAATGAAAAATTAAGTTTGATAAATTTGAGATAATATTTAATTTAGATACAAATATAACTAATATGTTTTATCAATTTTGGTATACGAACATTATTAACATGCAACTCACTTGGTACATTGCTAGTGCATTTAAAAGAAATGGTTAGGTTAAAATATAATTTTTATTTGCCTTCAAACCTTGCGTGGATGATTTACAAATTTCATAAATCGGGGAGTTATGTATAATTTATTATTTAAGTTTTATTGTGTAAAATATAATATGTAAAAATTTGGAAGAAAGAGAAATTAAAGTGACAACTATAAAGATAATAATAATATAACAATATAAAAATGCTTGTGAATGCTTTTTTTTTTTTTTTTGGTTAGGAAATAAAGATATATTAGAAAGAAAAAAAGAAGTTCATCACGAGGATGTGTTACATCAAAACAGTCATCCTATCCCTACTTTAGCGTCCCTGCTAAAGACTTTCAGGATCTGGGGTGGTAGTTCTTCCACCCAGTTGTTAGGTAGCCTCCCTACTCTTGCCTGTGTAGCTTCATGATGCCATATTTGCCTCTCTTCTAATTGTTTTGAATTGGACTTGTGGGATGTGTTTCTTATACTCCCAAATATCTTGCAATATCACCTCAATCTCCTTGGCTGATCCTTCAACACCCTTATTGGTCGAGTCCACTAAAATTTTGGAGTCAGACTCAAAGACCACAACCAGGTATCCTTCCCTTAGAGCTATTTGCATGCTCCTCTAACAGCTTCTGCTTCAGCAGTCAAAGGTGTCATGGCCATTAAAGACTTTGCTTCTCCATTCACCATTAATCTCTCATGGTTTTCTTGCTATAACTACATAAGCCCCTTCCCCAATGCCCTCATCGTATGCCCCATCACAATTAAGCTTTATGCACTGTCGTGGTGGGGGTTCCCATTTCTATTCTTTAGCTTCTCTATCACTTTTTGGCTCTGCAGTATCATTCATCTGCTGGGTCTCCTCCACTACCATTTTAGCTTAGCTTAAAACCCCTCTACCTTTGGGTAGTCTTTGCTGATACACCCATTCATTGCACGCCTTCCATAAAAACCATCATATGTAGGCCAGTAGAGATCGGTCCTCTTTGTGTTTTAGGGCTTTGTCCTTTTCTTTATGAATTTGTTCCTTTAGCTAATTTTTCAGTCCTACTCACTTTGTGTCTATCAACGTCAATCTAAAATAGGGATGTCCTCCAAACCTCACTTGCCCAAGGGCATAGTAGCAGTAAATGCTCCATATTCTCTTCCTCCTCCCCACGTATGGGACACAGTGGAGAGTTAGATAGTTTACTTCTCCATAGGTTCCATCTGGTAGCTAATGCCCCATTGGCTACCTTCCACATTGGCTACCTTCCGCATAAGCATCCTAACTTTTTGCCATACTGGTAAGTACCATATCATCTTTCAGAGGTCTTGTGGGACTCTGTAAGATGTAGAAGCATGCAGGTGTTTTTTCCCCTCCTCAATGCAGCTCAATTGTAGGTGATAGCCACTCTTCACTGAGTACCTCCCATTCCTCGAATGTGCCCATTTAACTGTATATGTTTGCTGTGTTTCACTAAGGGGTATTTCTAGGATGTTCTTTGCAATATCAGCTGGAAAAGAAGTTAGAACCAGCTCTCTATTCCACCTATTGTTAGGGACCTGTATCATATTTGCAATCAATTGCCTCTTTTCCAAGAGGTAAATCAGTGATAATCCAAGTTTGGTTCTGTTCTAAGGCGGACAATTCAGTGTTCATGGCTTGACACCAACCATGGTGTTTGATAGCTTGTTTATAAGTGGTAGGGTCAGAAGCAATGGAAATGGAGGTGGAAAAAGCAATAAAAGAAGGAAAAAAATTCTTATAAGTCAGAAAATTAGCTAAAGAGCAGGAATTACCAGTAGAGGAAGAAGAAGTCGTGGACAGCAACTCAGAAGGGCCTAAACGTGAAGTCTGGTTGCAATGAAATTCCTGCAGGTATTGTGGAGCTGTCCTTACCCTTTGTGACTTGCGAAGAGGGGGTTGAGGTGGAGAAGCTGGTGTGGAAAGTGAGAGATTAGTAGTAGGAGAAAAAATGGAAGAGTTATGTGATGGTGCAACATGTTGTTGAGATGAATCTGGTACAGGTATGGAGGGTGGGGTGGCGGGATGGTGAGGAGATGGACTGACTTGTGGAGAGTAAGAAATTGTGGAAAAATCAAGTGAGTCTAATAAAGGTTTAGTAAAAACAAGGGTGGGGTTCGGAGAAGGAGTGGATGGCAGATGAGGTAAAGATTGAAATGGAAAGATGGACTCATGAAAAAGCACATCCTGAGAGACAAAGGTGGTTTTGGACTTAAGATCAAGCAATTTATAACCTTTAATTCCAAAAGGATATCCAAGAAAAATGCAAATGCCACCTCGGGGATCAAATCTTGTTCTTCCTTGTGAAAGAGTGGCAGCAAAACAAAGAGACCCAAAAACTTTTAAATGAGCATAAGTGGGTAGAGATTTAAATAAAAGTTCAAAGGGTGTTTTGTTTTGAAGAAGGGGACTAGGGGTCCTATTGATGAGGTATGTGGCGGTTAAAACACAATCATTCCAATATTGAAGAGGAAGACCAGTTTGGAATTTTAAAGCACAAGCCAAATTAAGCAAATGTTGGTGTTTCCTCTCCACAACTCCATTTTGTTGTGGAGTGGCAACACAACTTGTTTGATGTAGGATCCATTTTTTTATGAAAAAACTCTTTCATTTGAAATTCTTTACCATTATTACTTCTTAGAATTTTGATGGTAAGGTTGAATTGATTTTCAATCAAATTGATAAAAGACTTGATGTTGTTTCGGGTGGCAACTTTGTTAGGAAGAAGATACAACCATGTACTCCTAGTGAAGTCATCAACTAAAGTTAAAAAATATTTTGAGCCATCATAAACAGGAACAGGACTGGGTCCCCAGAGATCATAGTGCACAATTTCAAATGGTATTGATGTCTTATGTTTGCTATGAGGGAAAGGAAGTCTATGAAGTTTTGCCAAAGGACAAATGTAACAAGGCTTTGTATTAGTAGTTGAAATGCTTTTCTTTACAATAGGATCTATAATCATATTCAGAATAGGAAAAGAAACATGGCCTAGGCGACAGTGCCATAGGTTAGTGACATTTTCAGTGTGTGAAACAGAAGCTGCAGCAGACTTCGTAACTGTGGAAAAGTGAGAAAGAGTGGTCACAAGGGTAGAGGGAGAGACAACCGTGTTGAGCAGGTGATATAGACCATTCTTCACTTCACCCTTCCTAATCATTGTCCAAGATGAAAGGTCCTGAATAAGGTAAAAATCAGAGAAAAAAACTAGACAACAGGTGAGATTGGCAGCCAATTTCTTGGCTGAAATTAAATTAAAACTAAAGGAAGGAACACACAAGACTTCGATGAGGTGAAGTGACGGTGTTAAGTGAACTGTGCCTATGTGTGTAACAGGTATATTTGTGTCATTTGGTAACTTAACAGAGTGAGAAACATGAGAATTAATAGTAGTAAAAAAAGAGGTATAACAGACCATATGGTCAGTCGCACCGGTGTCAATTATCTAAGGAATTTCTTGTGGGAATGAATGATTGGGTGTGCAGGTGGATAAACAATTTGAAATACCAGAAATGTGAGGAGTTGACTTAGCAGGAATGGTTGATTGAATTTGGTTGGCAGATGACTGAGCAATGGTGGTGGGCTGCCGTGGTTGAAGTAATGCCATTAATTGCTGATATTGTGCCCGAGTAAGACCTACTCGACCATCATTGGAGTTCTCAAGGTTAGAGTTAATAGGAGCAGTTTGAGCAGTAAAAGCATTTGATCCCTGAGATTAATTGAAAAGTTTGTGCTTGGGGGGTAGCCATGGAGCTTGTAACACTTCTCCATTGTATGACTAGACATGTTGCAATGAAAATAGATGGGGGCCTCAGTGTTACCAACCTTGAAACAAGTTTCAAAAGAGTGTCCTGTGATCTTGCAGTGAGAACAGTAGGCTTGGTCTTTCTTTGATTTTTGTTGAGATGGATTACGGGTAGGAAATGGGTATGGTTTGCAAATGGCAAAGGCCATGGAGTCAGATAGGTTTGAAGTGGCGGTCATTTGATAGTGGTGTTCCTATTGTTGAATGAGATAAAAGACTTTTGTGATGGGTGGGAGGGGATCTAAGAGCATTATCTGGTCTCGAACAGGGGAATATGCGTCGTTTAAACCCATCAAAAATTGAAAAACATAGTCCCGTTGGTATCGGTCTGAGAGAGTTTTCATCGATCCGCAAGAACAAACTAAAATGAGGTCATAAATAAGTAACTCATCCCAAAGAGATTTAAGCTTTCCGTAATATACACGTACAGTGTCAGAGTCTTGTTGAAGGCTGGCAAGGGTCTTCTTGAGCTGGTAAATACGAGGTCCATTTTGATGGGAGAAACAGTCCTGAAGATCGAGCCAAAGGTCACGGGCATTGTCTATGAAAGCAACGCTGGATCTGATGGAGGGGCTTATAGAGTTCCGAAGCCATGAAACCACCATATCGTTGCAGCGTTCCCATAAGTCAAGAAGAGGATCATCGGGGTCTGTTGGTTGAGAAATCGAACCAGTGATGAAGAAAATTTTATTTTTGGCACGGAGAGCTTGTCTCATCGCACAGGACCAAGTGGGGTAGTTATAGCTGGTAAGCAAGTTGGTGACCAGAACGACGGCTGGGTTGTCGCCGTTGTCCAGCTGAAATGGGTTGCTAGGGTCTGTGAGTTTCAGGTATCTGGCCATGTTTATGGCACGGAAGCTGCTTGGTATTTGGTCTGAATGAGCAGAGGAATTTTTGGGATTGTTAGAGGAAGAACTGTCAGAACCTTCGAAATCCTCCATGGGTGGCTCGAATCCCCTATGGGTGGCTCGAAGGCTCTTGATACCATAACATAAATGGTACAAAACAAAGAGCAGTACATGAAGGAATTGTTCTGTATATTCCTCAATGAATTCACTGTACATAATGCTGTGGGTATTTATATCTCTCTCGTGTAACAAACTAACCAACTCTGTACTGTCAATGGAAGCCAGCTAATAATAGAAAATGTATTTACAAATGAATAGAAAACAAGGAAACTAGTGTAATTACAAATCAACCCTTTTCTATATTTGTGCTCAGACGTCTTGTAGCTTGATTCTCTATACTGTGTAATAACTCAGGTGACATGTCTTCATTAGTTGAGGTGCACTGCAAAGCACGTTGTATTTGAAATTGCATCTACAAAATTTGTTGCATCATCTATTGCTGCACATCTTCAAACTTCTCTAGCTTCACTTTCATTTTATCGCGTTCCTTCTGAAGAGAATCTTGAAGAGAATCAATAACTGCTTGCAACTCTTTTATCTTATCAGCTTGTTCTCAAGACTCAGCAGTGGATCTCAATGACTAATGTAAAGTGGAACCGAGGAACCCATAGAATTGTCATACAACAATCCAATAGCTAATGTAACAAATGAGCACTATCCTAATGAACCATCAAGAGAACATAAAACATTGTCATACCTTTTGTATAAGTGGAAATACATACCATTGTCAGCTATCCCTCATTCTTTGAATGGTTAGGATAGACAACTTCAAATAATGATATTATGTCAGGCATTTCAACATATAGTTGATGTGCATTATCAAGGAAATAGGTGGGGGCGACAGTTGGCTATTTGGCGGTGGTAGTGACGAATGTTGGGGCTGTGGTGGTGTCTGTGGGGTGGCTGTGACCTGGCTTCGAGAGCTGTAGAGTGGGTTTGCAGGGTCTATGGTGGGGATTGGTTCAATGGTGGATAGTGGGTAGTGGTTAAGAAACTTCAACCAATAAGATAAACAAATGAAATAATCCATGAAAAAGCAACATAAAGTTTGTGTTTGCAGAGAAAATCCAGCAGAATGAAGTCACAATTCTCTTGATAGTGATCCCAAAACTAAACTCTAAATACAACACATTCTCAAGAAACTCTGACCCATCTATTCTTTTCCCAGATGACTTTGACCCAACAGAGCTCTAGATACAAAATATATCTATGAAACTTGCTCTAGATAATAATTAGAGTTAAGAACTTCCTGATTCCTCGCGTTTCCTCTTCTGCTGCCTTAAAGAAATAGAAGTTTAACCCTAACATCGAATGGGATCAAAAAAGAATTGAAATAGAACTTCAACAATTTTTAAAGAGAACATACCCCATAGAAGAGAAATCTGAAAGATTTCAATTCCGCTTCGGTAGTGCCATCTTCTTTTGAGTTTGCCTTAACATGATGATTCTGCAAAGGAAAAGGCATTATATATAGTAATATTATAGAAGCAAATATCAAAAAGAACTTAACGCTTACAATACCATCTGGACCTAGAACAGAAGGAGCACAGCTCCTCAAGAAGTTATGACTCCACATATTTATAATGCATTGTTACACGTATCATATCATCACCAGTCAGGTTAAGTTTACCGTTTAAGACCTCATAAAAAAAAAAACTGTTCTCACAGTAAAGTGGAATGTGATTCAGAACAAAAAAAAAATATTTAGCTGAACACATGGCTATCTACTATGGGTTTCAACAAATACTTAATGTTTCCTTATAGATTTCTCATCTGTAAGAACATATATTTCTTTTAGACGGACTTCACAAAAATGAGAACCCAAAACAGTCAAAATATATGGCACTTTAGAAACTGATGAAAATGAAACAAATAGATGTAGCAAAAGAGACGCTATAATAACCAAGAGTGAGATAAGTACAAAGGATGAATAAGCAAAAAACTCAGAACCATTTGCTTGACACACATTGGTCATATGATGTGGTCGAGACACACACTGGACATATGGTGTCCAACTATTAACATTAACATTATGAGCATAATAGAATCACAACAAAAAACTGCCAAAAATATTTTACCAAGACATTTATGTGATTGAGCTAAAACTAAAACCAAGTTTAGTATTTAACGGAGTCTCCAGGAAATTATGTTTCAGACAATGCCATATAAAAAGATAGGGGGAATGGCGTAAGTAATACCTCCATAATGATCTTCACAAAATTTCTATATTTATCAGGTGTAAGTAACTTAACTACTGCAGACCCAGACTTCCGCATCGCAATCTCTAGTATGACCGTGACCTGTAATTACAGTGAAATATACACATTAAAGATCTAAAAAAAATTATTCATAAAAGAAGGAAATTGTAAGAAAAAAAAAACTACAAACAAATGCGTAAGCACAAACATGCATCCATACATAAATACATCTGTGCATAAAAAGTAAGCATAGTTTTGATCTGAAATGATGCCATGAGGTAGATGACCATGGAAGAACTCCATTAATAATACCGGAGAGAAAGTTTTGCAGATCTTTTGCTTGAAGTCCCGACACTAATACTTTCACAAAGCCTAAAGCAGCCTGTTTAATTTGCATCAAAAACTCATAACCATTTCAAGTAACAGAAGTACAAAGAATTTGAGATAGGAGTTAGAGGAGGATACTCACTTTTATGACCTCCACAGCTTTACTCTGCAGCAATTGTAGAACTGATGGGACCAGATCAGGTATCAAAAAGCAGACATTCGGATCATTATATACCATTAGAGATAGTGCAGACACTGCTCCACTCTTAATGTGCGGAGAGGAACCCGAGAGATAATCCATTATCTGAAAGTTTGCTACACTGATATCAATTAAAGCAAAAAGGAAAGTGGAGCAGCAAAAATTCATTGGACAAAGAATAAATGCAACCAAAAATAATTTACTAATTACCATATTTACCACACAACCGAGATCAATAAAGAGACAATAAGCCTCAGATCAGCACAACAAGCTTGCAACAAAAGTATAATTCTTCCTAACTACCACAGAAAACATGATTTCTTCAATTCAAAGAACTCAATAATCATTTACACAAACTTGAAAAGACACCAACTAGTTTCGTATTTGGAAAAAACCAAATTAAAATTCTATCCATCATAATGAATTCCGAATATGCTTTAGATAACCAAGGCCTTCTTAAAGCCTTGATATCTTGGGGATTCTGACGAGTAACACATGCTGGAATCAAGTGCCTTGTTATCAAGCTGGAGATACCACATTAAGCATCCAACACTGATTGTAAACTTATATGTTTTCCACCACTGCAGAGTTTCAACTTACTTAAAAAATGAATCCTGACCGAAAAAAAAAAGTAAAAAAATGACTCCACACTGTATGACATTGACCTTTAACAATATAATATTTTACACGAAAGCATTATAAACTGGAGTTTCTCAACCAATACAATCAGGTAGGTTCAAAACAAGAATGTATCAGCTTAAGCACTACCTTCAATGGAAATCAACAAGAGAGCAAATCAAGTCATCAATTGGAGCAGAAAACTTTCACTTCTCTCATTTTTGTTCGTTGGTTTCAGGGTTATCTTCTGATGAAATTTTCAATAATTTGAACAGAGATAGCAGTGAGGTTTTTTTTTTGTTCAGCGGTGAGGTATTTTTCAGGATATTAAACAGAGAATACATTATATGTTCGCCGAAATTTCTGATAAATTCAACGAACAAATTTCGTACCTTATGAATCCGAAGCAACTTCACTCGAAACACCAAAGATTTTATCTCTTCACTCGAACATTTGAATCCAAAGCAACTTCGATGAATCACCAAGGAGGCAACTTCGATCAATCACCAAGCATCTTCACTCGAAACACTGAAACGTCACGCTACCAAAACGCAGAGAGAGAGAGAGAGAGAGAGAGTGGACAGAGAAGTCGATCGTGAAGAAGGGGCTGCTATGGCTTACCCAAAACAACACTGGTTTTATTTTTTTAAAGACTTAAAATGACGTCGTTTTGGAAAAAAAGGGATTTTTCTAAAGCCCAAAAACGATGTCATTTTGGTTTTTTTAAAAAAAAATTATATTCTATGACAAAAAATAAAACGCCGCAAATAATATTTTAATTTTAATTTTTAAAAAAAAATTATATTATGAGACAAACATAAAAAAAGGTCACAAAAATATTATCAGAAAAAAATATTCCCGACAAACTTATAAAAACGTCGATAATTCATATTTTTATTTTATTTTTTACTTTAATTTTGGTTTAAAAACTAAAATTTATTTTTTGAGATAAAAAATTAAACGTCACCAATTAATATTTTCACTTTATTTTAATTTTAATTTAAATTATTTACTTTGGAGATGATTTAATATTATCTAGGAGAAACAAAATTTGTAGTAAAAAAATGTTAATTCTTGCCACTTTTTCAAATTGGGAGGGAATCGCCATTTCGCAATACAATTAGAAAAAACGTTGCAAAAAAAAATTAACAAAATATAAATTTGCAATAAAATTATAAAATTGTTGCAGATGAACGGTGTTGTTTTTAAAAAATATATTTTGCGACAAAAAAAAAATGTCGCAATTAATATTTTAATTATAATTTAAAATTATAAAATTTAAATTCTGCGACGAATATAAAAATGTAGAGAAATAATAATTTTATTTAAGACAAAAATAAAGTTTATATTCTGCGACGAACTTAAAAAAATGTTGCTAAAGAATAAATATTTTCGACAAACTTATATGAAACGCAGTAAATTAATACTTTTATGTTATTTTATTTTAATAACTAAAATTTATATTCTGCGACGAAAAACTTAAACATCGATTGCGAATTAAATATTTTAACTTTATTTTAATTTTGATTTTAGATTATTTATTTTTTGTGATGAATTAAAACTATCTTTGACAAAAAAAAAATTTGTCATAAAAAATTATCAATTCCCACCATTTTTAGTTCCAAAAAAATTGGGGGGAAATCACATTTTCACTATGCACTTAAAAAGATGTCGCAAAAAAAATTGCCAAAAAAATAATTTGTGAGAAAATTATAAAATGTTTGCAAATAATACATTTTTTGCGACAAATTTAAAGAAAACAATTTTTGTTGTAGTGACTAAGATGTGGACCAAAGCTAATCTCAGGATCTACAGGAGGATGATGGTTGCATTCCTGGGAGTCATACCCTATCCTTCCACAATGATAACAAAAATCACTCAATCTTTCATACTTTAGCTCGATCCATTTTGTTGGACTTCCTTCTCTCGGTAGCAAGAAGAAAGGGACAAGAGGTTTATTAATATCCAAAACGACCCTTGTCCTGAGATATCCTTTCCAGAACGGCCTCGGTGCAACCCCTGCTTGATCCTCTATCGGCTTCCCAAAGTCTGTGTTATCAGCTTTGCATTCTCTGTTGTTATCATTCCAGGGGGTAACAGAAGTGCCTGAATCCAGAAAGGGGTTGAAGTAAAATTGATTTCTGCTATGGAGACTTCTGGGTTCCATTGTCTTAAAACAAGTAACTGACCTTTGACAGACCATGGTTCTTGTTGGAGCACCTTTTGCTTCAGATCTTCATTGGAGAAGATGAATATGCATGTGTCAATGTCTCCATCCCTTATGTCCATCTTGTACTCTACTTTCCATGCATTCATCACTATACTCTTGACGACATTCCTATTTAGGGTTTTCCCTGAACAGATATTCCCAACCAGGCACGATTGCCTTACGAAGTCAGCTGTTGGTTCATGAGGTTGTAGCTGTATTATTGGGGTTTTTTTCTTGTGTTTTTTGGTGAAATGAGAAGGGTCTTGTTTGGGTTTTCCGTTCTGTGTGGAGCGAAGAAGAAAGAGGGGCCGAGAAAGAGGTTAGAAAAAGTGAGAGCAATTGCAGAAATAATCTGTGTAGGAGGTATTCCCAGCAAAGACAGAGGTATTTAGGGTGAGAAAGATGCATTAGGAAGAGAAGGATTTGGATCTTCAGGCAATACTCCACCATTTCTGGGGAGAGCGAAGAGGCTCTACTCAAGAGCGAAAATGCTTCAGAGGTGTCATTCTTATGTTAAGTCTTAAAGATATTATAATATTATATAATATACAAAATGGAAGACTTCTAACTTTACAGGTTTATTCTTCAACCTTAAAAGAGTCTCATTTGATTCTTTATTAAACAAAAAAAAAAAAAACAACAAATTGCAAGATGATCTAGTCTTGTACAAAAGAGAGTAGAGACAAGGAAATCCATAGAACTCAAGAAGAATTTTACTTGTTTCATAGATTTGGATAACTATGATTGGATCATGCCTATGCCGTGTTAATGTAATTTTTTATGTGCACTTCATTGCATCTGAAATTAAGTTGTTTAAGTTAATTGCTAAACTAAGAAGTTTTAGTTATTGGGGATTAATAATTAGCAACTGGATGTTTATTGATACAATGCCAAATAATTATTTAATTGCTAGAATTTCTTTAGAGAAGCTTAAATTGATGGTTAGAAACTGAAATATTGAGTTAGGAAACTTAAATCGTGCATTTAGTTGGTGAACTTCTTATTAGAACTAAAGAAATGCTGAAACTTTTGTAGAATTTGAGCTTAAGTTCATATTATGAAAGATACCAGTTGTAACATATGTATGCATCGAAGCATGACACCTTATGTTTAATTCTTGTTTTAAATTCTTTTTATGAGCAAAAAAAAAAAAAACAGGTCTTGTTTTAAAAGGGTAAGGAAGAGGTGATGAAAATATGTAACAGTCAGGCATGAGTATTGAAGGATTTTCTTAAGAATAGAAAAGAAATTACCTAATTCGTCTATGGACACCCTATAGAGAAATATCAATAACTTTCTCTAGAAAACTCAAAATGACGCACTATTTGTTGTGTTAGAAACTAAATACATAGAAATTTTCATTGGTATAGGATAGAGAACCTGGTTGCTACTGAGTAAATACTAGTGTTAGTCTAAAATTAAGTGAAAGTATAGGAGCTTGTAACGTTTCGAATTCGATGTCCTATGGAAAAATAATGGGAACGGTGTCTATGGGTTGTCGTTTTGAGCCTGTGATGTGTACTAAGAGAGATTACCGAACGAACACGGATAGGTCACCCTGATTTATGGTGTAAAACTCTAGAAAACATAGCAAACATGAAATTTCACCTTATGGGCTCGACAACCATAATTCACAAGCATTTTTCCTCTATGTTTAGAGTTTTAGTTATGTTATGAAGACTATAAAATCTAGTTTCAATAATTTCTTGCTGTAATCAAACAAAAATATCATGTTTTGCATACACTACGAGACATGAACTATAAATGCATGGGTAGTTGTAATCGCTTAACTTTCTTGCTATCCAAGTAATCTAAAAATTAAATTTAGGTGGTGGAAATATGTTCATATTGTTGGAATGTGTAGCAATTAGATAATTGATGATCATGAGTCCGAGAATTAACTCAAACTGCGGTGGGTCATCTCAAATCACCTCCAAATAATTTTTAATGCATTGTAAATCACATGAAGCGAAAGAGAAAACATGAAAGTATAGACCATGGTCTTAAATTTCGTTTCGTACGAAACGTTTCGTTTTTTACAAAATCAGAAACGAAACTTTAAAAGAATCTCTAGAAGTATTGATTTTCGATGAAACTCGAAACGTTTCTATGTTTTCGCACGAAACGCTCGGGAAGCAGTCCATTTTCGATTACTTTGCGAAAACTTAAAAAAAAGAAGGAAGAAAGGAAGTTCATTTTCAAGTTCGACTGAACGAGAAGTCGAGAGACCCAATCGGCCACTTCCCACCCAACTCAAAGAGTTTTACACAGATATCAACTCTGGTGAAGTTGGGATCTAATCTCAGCTGAAAATTAGGGATTTTAACTTAGATCTCAGTTGAAAATTAGGGATTTCACCTTATTTTCCTGGGTTGTGAGGATTAAACCAATTTAAATGAAAGGAGTGGAGCATATTGAACAACAAGAAGAGCCATTTTAAATCATTTTTTTATAGATATGCCACCAAAGGCGACAAAACAAAGAAAACATGATATTGGGTGGGATCATGGCGAAATGATCGACAACAATCGTATGTAGACAAGATGCAAATACTGCGAAAAAGAGATGAAAGATTCTGGGGTATCACACTTAAAACAACACATAGCTGGCGATTTTTCAAATGTTGAAAAATGTCCAGTGGAGGTGTCAAGGGCAATGAGGGAGCACCTTGATAGTCAAAAGACCGAGAGCGAAGAAGTAACTATAGAGAGAGCTGCTAGGGAGACTTTGATGGAATCCACACGAAAAAAAAATGGAATTGATGTAGATAGTTTTGATTGTGATGAGTACGTTGATTTAGACAAGGAGATGACCCCTATAGAGAGGAGACAGTTACATATTGCCAAGCAGAGATCTATGCATGACTTACATGAATTTGAGCAAGGCAGAGCACGGTATGAAGGTGGCGACACATCAAAAGGAGTTTTTTTCTCTCATTCAGATAACATGAAGGGAATGGTAGAAACATTTAGAAAGAGATCAAAGGGTTTAAACATAGAAGACATGGATGCTTCCATTTACAGGAACCGTGATTGCATACAACAGAGGATACCGAACATGCTTGGTTCCAATAAATTTGTGAAATCTGCAAAGCATGCCATAGGTAAGTGGTTTATTTATAGTCATATCCCCCCTAATGCAACTAGAAATATATATTTCCAAACTATGATCGATGAGATTGCGAAAGTAGGAGTGGGGTTTAAAGGTCCAAGTCCTTACGAGATCATTGGGCCTATTTTGGATAACGAAATTGATGAAA